CTTCAGTAGAGAAGGAAGAAACGTACACAAACAAATAATAATAAAAAACAATTTGTAATAGTAAATAAATGTAGGGAGTGAGAGTGACCACAAAAAACATGAATATACAGATATACATTTTTCGTATGTTCTTTCTTTACTGTAGGTTTCTCAACATTAAGTCCCAAGAAGTCGAGATTATGACTAGTGATGATTAATAAACTATTGTAGCCAATTGTATTGTAAAATATCAATATCTGAGGTCATTCTACAAGTGAAATGAAGAAACTGACAAAACAGATATGATATTAACAATATATATTACCAGTTAATTATAAAAATAAAACAAATGTTCACTTATCAACCTACTTCAATGAAATTATTTGGAGAAAAAGAGGAGAAACAAGTAATAAAATATTTTGAATAAATTAAGTATGATGTAGGGATGACAATGCCAAAAAGTACAGAAACAAAGTAGGGATGAATACACAAAATCATACAGAAATCACCACATAAGTAGCCAAATCTTTCCAAGAATATCTTTTATCTACAACTAAGTGTTGAATTCCTGTAAGTTGCATGAATTCAGGTTTGAATAAAAGCATTTAAACTGAATAGTGCTATAGAGTCTTACAGTGGCTAGTAACTATAAACTTGTAAGATTGACCCAGTACTTGTAGGGATTTTTGCATCGTTTTGTATATTCATCCCTACCTTGTTTCTGTACTTTTTGCCGTTGCCATCCCTACATCAAATTTAATGTTTGCAAATTCGTTTTTTATTACTTGTGGAAATAGTGTTCCGACCATTACTGACTTTGTTGTACAGTAGTGAAGAGCTCTGGATTGAGTGAAATGAGTCGTTAGTAATGGATATGGCGAACACAGTGTGGTTGAATTACTATTATTACAAACTCTTCTATACCTTGAAGATCCCTAAGAGACTATATGAAACATTTAATGTTAGAAAACGTAATAGGCCTATTATTAACGTCTTATGATAAGTATAATTAACTTTAAAATTTATTGTTACGATATACAAGAAACATATTAACCTGGAAGCTGATTGTACCATTTCGGTCTCGATCGAAGGCCTTGAACACATAATGAGCATAGGGACCAGTCTCTGGAACAAACACGGTGAAAAAAAACTGTAATTGTAAGCATCGTTATGATGCATTGAAACGAATAACCAGTTGTTTAAAATTACTTAGAATACTGAAAAACTAAAAACAGTAGTCTGTTCAAATGAAACATGTTTCAATGTTTTCTACTGAAAACTTTTACCTCAACACTAAGAATTAAGTTCGTCTAGATAGTTTATTCTTTTATTTGATGTTTCTTACAACTAACTAGACACAATATTGTACTAATTGTTAATTTAATTTGTTAAAATAAAGTTAATCGTCAAATATAATATTAAATTTCAAAAAATCATTTCCACAAAGCCGATATATAACTCAATAAAAACGATTTACACAAGAACGTCTTGTACCGCTAACATTTTAGTGTATCATTCTTCTATAAAATAACAGTACGAAGTGAGAGATGAGGACACTTTTGAAACATAAATTAAACTAAGGTTATTCATATCAAGGTTTCTTGTCTATACCCTTATTAAAATCAATTGATTATAATGTTATTTGCGATAGGTTGGAATGAAGCATAAGTTAGCACCGTAGAAAACCAGAAATATATCAATGAAAAAAAAATTAATATAATTCTTTTTGTTTGTTAAATTGACATGGTATATAATATTCCTACGAAAGAAAAAATTACAGTAAGTTCGCGTAAATTCTTATTTCTGATAACTGATAAGTATTAGCGTTCTACCTACTTCTAGCTTAGCTAAGAAGCTAACTGATAACACAGGCCTGCGATTGTTTTATTGTCTTGAAATTGTACATGTTCTACAGTAATTCCTGTACGCTGAATCACAAAACGATTTACATTTTCCTCCATCCCGTACAGATTTTTCACAAACGTCATATGTACTATTATACAAGTGAAGCATTTTCATTGAAATTATGTCATATTTTGTTATGCTTAAAATGTTGACAACCACTAGCTATAAATTTCTCTGGACCAATCGCGACGTAAGAGTCATGTCGATTGTTCTAGAACCCACGAGAAACACACCGCTAGTGTATAAACGGTTAACAGGCCGTATGACGTGTCATTTCTGGATAGTATTTGTTTATGCGTGCACTTTGACATTATTTTTTCTTTTCAATATTATTTATTCGTCGCTATAGCAACAAGAGGTTGTGTAACGACCCAAACATATTCTGTTATATTTGTGGTAAATTTGTTGTAAATTTGATCAAAGTAAGAGTTTTTTCTTCTTCCCGATTTGTAAACAATCCTTACGTAGTAGAAAAAATGAATATTATTTTCGAAATCTGTGTAGCTGAATTATGAAAAAATCCGTTATTAAAACCAAAACAACGTTTATGAAGTTTAAATTCTCAGGCCTGTGTAATTAATGGCGTTCTATCTTCTTCTGGCTTAGTTAAGAAGCACTTGCCTATTTCACGAGACGAATATACAAGAAAGCTGAGAACGTTATACCTGGTTACACGAAAATAGCAAGTGTGTTAGCACATTGTAGGTTAAATCTTCATTTTAGATTGATAACTTTAACTCCAGCAAAACAAAGAAAACATAATAAGGTTGACGAAAAGGAAGAAGTGAACATAATTTATTACTAGACAACCAGCCAAACTGTTGTATTAAGTTTATATAAATCAAACTTAACATATATGTAATCTTTTAAAGTTTCCGAGACTTTATGATGTATTATAATCCTTAAAAACAGACTGTTAAGTTTGGCAATAAGATGGCTAAGATATTTACCTTTAATGACGATAAGTAACTTCTGACTTAACTATGCTGAAAAGCCAAATGATTATCTTAATTTTACCAAACGGAAAAAAAACCTGACGTAATCAAAATTTAACCTTACCGTCTGCCTAATTATTTAAGGCAAATAATAAGAAACAACCCATTGAAGTTAAAAAATTCCAATATCATAAAACTATAGTTGTATGATAACTAAAATTTTACTGATTCCAAACTTTTGTTGGGATATAATTTCACAAGAACACACTCGTAGCATTTTCTCATAAAGTAGCATAGACTTTCTTTTTATTATTGAGAACCTGGTTCGTTAAACAAGTTCAGAATGAAGTTTAGAGAGCTGACACAATCCATTGTACGAGTTCTGTCTTTATTACACATCTTAGACTGTGTTTTATTTGAGCTTCACGCAGTTAGCAGGGAGAAAGCTTTTTTACTACTTACGACTATCAACATCAGACAACATCTGTATAATCAATCCGCCAGAATTTAATCCGTCATAATTTAACAACTACACTTCCAAAACAACTCACCTCCATGTGGGAAGAACTGGGCGTATATGTCTTTAAAGGTGTTCTCATTTACAATTCCCGTTGGACAAGCCTTTAAACAAAACAACATAAGTAATTAAAAAAGTACCTGTTATAGTAAATCTACAAAGAATTAGAGAAAGAATAAAGTACAAAACATTATTACTTATTATTTAAGTTGTTATTAAGAGTATCTGGTTTGTTGAACAACTAGGTAAAACATTACATTGATTTTCGTAATTTTCAACTTTCATTCTTCGTCGTTGTTTTTCCTTTCGGAATCGTGAACTCTCCTGTTATTGAGTTATCGCTTAAATATACAGTATTCGTCAAATACTTTACTTACCGAGTTAGATAAATGATTACGTCTTAGTCCTATTAAATCTGAAAATTTTATTTCAAAAGTTTAAAAATAATAAAAAACAACGGTATTAAATATTTAAAATTAAAGTGTCAAATTACTTTTGTTGATTTTTTAAAGTTTTATAATTATAATAAAAGTATTACGTATTTAAAATTAAAGTGTCAAATTACTTTTATGGATTTTATTTAAATGATATCATATTGAGATATCATCAAAAGCGGCCCAGTGGTTAAAATGCAGAACTATTGATCGGTGGTTCAAGTATTCACGTCCCATTACCACAACAAAAACAGCAACATCATGCTTTATAAGGGTCACGGTAAAATCCACTATTTAGTCAGACAAGAGTATCCATGAGCTGCCTTCACTCTAGCCCATCAGTTCAAAATTAGGGATGGCTAGAGAAGATAACCTGTGAGTAGCTTTGCACTAGTATCCGAAAGCACAAAAACAATCCTTTTATTCTCCAAACGTCTAGTGATAAAACTGCATTGGAGTTGTTTCGGTATTAGTAAATTAAATCTTTAACCTGATACTTTTCTGTTAATGCCTAAGCTAAGATGGTACCAGTTCATTAAATCTTTAAAATGATACTTTAATGTTAAGACCAAAACTAAGACGATAATAATTAACTAAATCTTTAACCTGACAATTTTCATTTACAGTTGGCGAAAGAAGAAAACCACACAAATACCATATTACATAAATGCACAAAAGTGGTTTAAGGAGGTTTGTTTATTTATTTACAAAGTTGCAGGAAAATACCCCAAACCTTACCCTCTTTACAAAGAATAGTTATGAAGAGTTATTTACTTTATTTTCTTTAGCTTGAGATTTCAGAACTCAAACAGTGAAACGCCCAAAAGTAAATTTACAAACTCAAACTCATAACTGTTATAGCGAAGGCTGCAAGTAATAATGGTCATTTTCTAAAAAAAAAAAAAAAAGAAATTTTTTAGCTTACACATGAAATGTAACAATTAATTACTTGTATTTCTTTCGTACATGGGGCCCGGCATGACCAGGTGGTTGGGGCGCTTGACTCGCAATCTGCGGGTCGCGGGTTTTAATCCCCGTCACCCTAAACATGCTCGCCCTTTCAGCCGTGGGGGCGTTATAATGTGACTGTCAGTCCCACTATTCGTTGGTAAAAAAGTAGTCCAAGAGTTGGCAGTGGGTGGTAATGACTAACTGCCTTCCCTCTAGTCTTACACTGCTAAATTAAGAACGGCTAATGCAGATAGCCCTCGTGTAACTTTGCGCGAAATTCATAACAAACCACACCAATCTTTCGTATATTCAAGTTCACAATTCAGTTTACTAACACAGGCCTGCGATGGTTTTATTGTCTTGAATTCTTTACATGTTCTACAATAATTCCTGTACGCTG